AAAAAAAAAAAAAAAAAAAAAGAAAGAAAGAAAGAAAGAAAGAAAGAAAAAGAGCGCGAGATTTTTCGCGGATTATACGAGCATACGAGTTTGTTAGTTGTTAAACAATGGAACAATGCTCGAGGACATTACGATCGATTTATCAGATTGGAGTTTTCGATTCGAGGCAATTTTTAATTACCTCCGTGAACGTCGAATGTTAATTCAAATCATATTAAATCCGCCTCGTTTTTATCGCTACGCGGTATATCTCTTCAACCAATCTTGAATTGTAGCGTGATTGGCTTCCACCCATCGTATGTTGGCTTCCGATTGCTCTATCGATTGTTGCACCGATCTTGTGGCACTTCCGAACTCCCCTATGTGCTCTTTGGTGAATTCCATTAGCTAGAATTAGAAGAAGAAAGATTTTTCTTTTTTTCAAATCAAATTGACGAATTAAATCAATGTTTCTCACGAGCAGAGTGAAATTTTTTGCCATCAGTTATAAAGAATTTCAACGATATATTATAAAATCGTCGTTCGTGAATAATTTTACAAGAAGGTAAGTGATTTTAAATGTATAAATATTCGCGAGGTGCTTGATTTGTCACAGATTTAAATTTCGTACGAAATATTTTGAATAATTATTCGCAAAATTATTAATAATGATTTTGATATACTATATTCATTTCAATATATTTTAAAATATAGAATTTTATACTTACATCTTTGAGATCATATTTGGTATTGATACCTCTCGTGGCTGATTTCACTATGTTATTTATGGTTAATAACGATGTTCCGAAGCTAAGACAGAGAATATTATTGAACATTATTGTCAATCGTCATAACTTATGGATAGAATTAAGTAGAACCTAACCTCTGAACTTTTTCACGTCTACATTTTAAATGGTGAAATTAATTTGATGAAATTTAAATAAAAAAAAATATATAATCGAATCATCATCACCTAGATATTGTATTACTTTTAATAGGTTTAAAATCGATCAAGATACAAGTTAAGAGACTTACTATTCTCGGAGTCTCGCCCATTTATTTCTGAGGAAGTTGAAAGCTAGCGGTTGGCCAACAGGATTGCTGGCAATGGAATTAAGAACACGGCTGACATCTTGTTTTCTAATTCCTGAATTGTTCGTGATCGTCCAATCCAAGTAACGACTCAACAGCCACGTTTCTCTGGTGCAGCCGAGCGCGTGGTGAAGCAAATCCTTCTCGGAACCGACGTTCGTTTCCAAGTATCTTTGCCAAGCGAAATCCCATTCCACTTGTCCACCGAATCGAATCGCCGTACAATAGACGACCATCTTCAAATTTGGCGATATTCTATAGGCATTGTGAAAATTCTTCATCGATGATTATTATCAATTTGAAATACAATTGTTGTTAACGTTGCAATTTAATCTTAACGTCGTAAAAATATTATGAAAATTTATCGAAGAATACCGATATTTGATGATTTTTATGAATAATTAATCGCATTTTGAATTAATTTCGAGTCACTTCTGAGAAAGAAGAAAGAAAAATAAATAATAATAGTCAAGTTTACGTGAGATCGATTGCAAGAAGATATATATAATTTAATTTCTTTTTATTTTTATTTTATTTCTTCGTAAGACTGTAAAGTCTCCTTTTTTTCTGGTCACCCTGTATGTGAACAAACATACTCACGGATTATTCACATTTGGACTGGGCGTGTAGCGCCAATTGTAAAACTGTTTCACTGCGTTTTGCACGCAATCCTCGTGGCCAAAGTTGCATGCCCATGTTAGAACGTCGATGCGGGTGAAAACTGTCAATTGGGGATCACCGACGTTATCCGTGAAACCGACTTGTTTGTACACGTTGTCAAGCAGTTTCAAAACGTATACCTGAAACGATATTTCGTGTTTGAATATATATAAAAGAAAAAGTGATTCATAATATTTAACATTATTTCCATTATACGTAATACATCATTCCTCGCAAGAGAAAACAAATTTCTGTTGGATTTGAACTTTTCTCTCTGTCTAAATTACATTCGAAGAAAATGTGAGAAAATATTAATATTTTTGATCATACGAAATTCACGATGACACGGAAAATTTCTTGTATTTACTCGAAATTGATCGTAGCTCGGCATCTTGATCAACATGCTGTCCAAATAGTGCATGGCAGTGAAAGCAGCCTTCCATGGTAAGTACTCAGTCTCGTGAGCTAAATACGATGTGACGCTCAACGCAGTGGCGTAGTCTAACTTTCCGGCTCTTGCCAAATTGAGCGCGTCGTCTATTAATTGGGCGCGATTGATCGTTGAAATATTGCCGAACGAATTCCTGTTCAATTGCTTGATTATCAGTTGCCAATTCGTTTTGTCGTAGTTCACTCTGTAGTATCCTAAAAGAAGAGAAAATTTCAGAGAAAATGTAAGATCAAGATCCTTTTGACTTTGAATAAATTTCGACTTCTATCAAGCTGATTGACTGTTAAAGATAATTATACAAACTTCTTTAATTGTGGGTATATTTTTTTCAAATCTTTCACGAAAAAGGTAAAATCATTCGAGTTTTCTTATTCTTTTCTTTCTCGAAAAAAAGTTTGATGCAGTTATTAAAGTATCTATTAATTTAAAAAGAATTGGAAAAAATTCAGAAAAGAAATTTTTCTTTATAAGCCAATTTTAGATCAACCAACGAAGGTTAAATGTTAAATATATATATACTTCATTTCTGTAGCTGTAATTTAATTGCTGTAATTTTAAATTCCACGTCACTTTGATTACATTTCAAGTTTAAATTTGATACCAGTAATCAAAATTATATATATATAATTCAAGAAAAATTAAGGAAATAATTAATTAAATTTGTTAATCCAAATCAGAAATTAATCGATGTAATGTAATACCAGTTTTCGTCTTACCAGTTTCTTGAATATTGAAGATAACCCACTCCGAGGAATTCCAATTCAAATTGGTCAACGTGATCGATTTTTCCGCTTTCATCCACTGAGAAGGTTGGGTTGTATTGAAGTCTAATTGACTTTCGGTCGTGTACGTGATAGGTATCCACCAAAGTGGCTCGACGTTGGACGTGGTCACCATAGTACCGTTACGAAGCATGAAACGTTCCTGAGGGGGGGAAAATATGGATGGACGTGGATAAATATCGATCGTAATAAATCTGATTTACTTTTGAACCGTTTTATCTTTCAGCAAACCTGTGTCAACGTCGCTGCACCGTTATTATAATCTCGAATAACCGTTACCACTGGAAAACCAGTTTGGAGGGTCCAGGTATCCATAATTTCCTTTATCGTTACCGCGGAATCGAGGACTTTATCCTTGTGCGCTTGTTTCGTAAGAGCATCCCAAAGATCGTTTTGCTCGGCGCTCTGATAAGCTCTGTTACACGAACAGCTCGTCTTATTTTCATATTTTAATCAAGGAATAAAAGTACGAGTTTGATAAATTAATGTGTATGAATGTTATTATGTAAGGAGGAATCGTGAATCGTGTTTGAAACGTTTCCATAAATTTGATTTAGAAGTGAAAAGTTAATTTTGTGATTTAAAAGTTTATCCAAATAATGTTTGGAATGTGTTTATGAATTTTTTGATTGTAATATTACACGCACAGTATATAATTTTTAAACTCACTTTGCATTCAAATAATTAGTTAAACCTTGCTTGAACACATCGGTAGTGAGGAAATGATCCATCATTCTTATTATGGAAGCACCTGTTCCAACGATAATATAATAATATTATTGTATTCACGTTACGTAAATATAATTGCAATATTAATCACAATTTTTTACTCGCACCTTTCTCGTAAGAAATTCTGTCGAAAATTTCGCTAATTTCGTCGGGATGTTCGACTTTAACCGATATCTGATGCGAGGATTCTAATGCGTCCAGACCAAACACGTTTTGCAGATCATGCACGACAAATTGCTCCAAAACTTTCCACGTTGGTTCCACCTACGAAACGCGTGATATAAAAAGTTTTAAACCAAATAATTGAACCAATAAAGTATAAAAAAATAAAGAAAAATAGAGAAGTATATATATATTTTATATTTCTTATTGATTTTTTGTTTTTCTTTTTTTTAAATTAATTTTTCATTTCAAGTTTAACAACTTACCGCGTTCATACCGATGTATTCCATGTAACTGGCAAAGCCTTCGTTCAACCATAGATCCGACCACCAACTTGGAGTTACCAAGTTACCAAACCATTGATGAGCAAGTTCGTGTGCTATGACTGTGGCCACTCGTTGCTGATTGCTGCTAGTCGAGACACCTTCTTGATACAGCATAGCGGTCTCTCTGAAAATTCAATCGTATCATCCCAGTTGACCAAATTTTCGAAGGATTTTTCCAAAATACGCATAAAGCGTTTAAATTATTAAATAGTTTTCAATGTTGAAACAATTTAAATAATTTTAAACGCAAGGAAAAGAGATTAATGAAGTAATGAAATATTTTGGAAATATTTAATTCTCTTTTAAAATTCTAAGGATTAAGAAATTTTATTCCTTCGTAATATATATGGTCGAATAAAAATCGAAAAAAAATATATATTCGTGAAATACTCGTTACAAAAATTTATTTCGTAATTATATCGAAATACAAATTTTTTTAATTATATTTATTAAGATGCATCAAATTTGGCCTTCTGAACTCACCTGCAAGTGATTAAGCCCCAATTCTCCATAGCTCCAGCCGAAAAATCGGGGAGAGCAACGCTGTCCATCTTGGGCAGGGGGAATTTAATTTTGAAATAGTCCTCGTAATATCGAAGTATTTTCGGGCCAATGTCCAAAGTGTACCGTGCCTGTTGGACGGCCTCGCTTCGTGCCCAGACTCTAAACTTCCCGGATTCCGATTTCAACATCTCGAAGTCCGAAACAATGAAGGCGACCAGGTAAGTGGACATTGGCACAGAGGGTTCATAATGGTCCCACACGTATGTCGGTAAACCGGGCCTGGTTTTACAATTAACCAATTAGCCAATAATACCTGATGAATTATTTTATAAGTATTTTTAAAATTATTGTTGAAATATTGTCGAAATTATTTAATGAAGATTTTCTTTTATTTGTAGTTCAATGAGAAAGAAGATAAATAGGAACGATTTAAGAAATCTGTGAATGTATATTTGAATTTTTGGAATTCTTCTTTTCTTTTCTTTTTTTAATCATGATGAAATTTAACGTAAGATATATACATTACGTTATTTACGTGATCGTAATAGTTAATTTTCTAATCTTATAAAATCTAATGAACAGAACGAAGAGAAACAATTAAGTTGGACGACACATCTCGCGCAAACAAATTGATTACAGAGTTAACGGATACTTTTGTTGATTCTGGAAATTACTTCTGCGTACAATTCGCGCAAATAATAAGAGTGTTAATCATCCTTCTCGTGTTAAATTGACAGTTAGAGAGACGTGTACTCTATTCACGAAGAAAACTTAAAAAATAAAATTCGATGGTTTATTACGGAAAAGAATTATAAGTGTCGATTCAATATGTTTCCAAAATTGGAAAATTCCAAATTTCGAAAAATCGAACGATGTTTCGAATTTAAGATGTAATCGAATTCTCAGCAACGAATCTACGCAATGAATTATTTACAAATTATTTATAATAAATTAAATAATTCTAAGCTAAAAAATTAACACATTCAATAAAAATATTTCAAAATTATTCAAAATATTCTTTTCGCAAATTAAACACGCGCAGTCTGAAAAATATTGAAATCGACAAATTGACAAATACATTAATCTTTATGATCAATCTTTTAAAATTCGAATACTAGAAAACAAAAGATAACACTCGCGAATCTTCTTTTTTTTTCTTTTTAAATTCAAATAAGTATCAATAAATCAAACTTCTTTTACTCGCACAAATTTCCATAATTCAAAAATTTACTTTTGCTTCGTAAATCTCCATAATTCAAAGATTATCCTTGAGACTCGAGTCAATCAAAACGAGACAATATGAGAGAAACGCATCGCGTGTATAGCGAAATCGTTTCAGCGGGCGTAAAAATACGCTTTTAGTCGCTTACACTGGCATGGGCTCTCCCATTCGAGGCATGTTCGAGATGGATGTCATGTTCTTGGGCCTCGCAATGCTGATCTTGAACGTTGCTTTCAGCGCCGGCTCGTCGAAGCACGGAAACGCGCGTCGCGCATCCGTTGGCTGGAATTGAGTCGTCGCAATCCATCTGTAACGCGAGGGATCATCGTCACAGGGTGGCGAATAGGTGAGGAATAAATATCGAGTAAAATGAGTAAATTGAGTAAAATAATTTTTAGAGTGAAATGGAGGAATGAAAGTTAAGAGCGATCACCTTCCTCGATAAAGGATAACAAATCAATATTTTTGAGAATTCTATTTTGAAATAATATAGTTAGATGTGTAAGTTAGATTATTGGTAAAGAACAAAGGATAATCACAGATTTTAAATTCTTATTGTTCTCTGTAAATGAAAATTCAAATTGCATTTTTCGAAATTTGAAAAATTTATCGATTCGATAGTCTAACTAATTATTATTTTTAACGTTAAAGGAGTAAGCTCGTAAGTAGCAAGATATTTTTAATTTCCATGAAGTTGTTACAAATGGATCTGCCCACCTCTTGTTACAATGTCCTCAATTCTGGGAACGTACGTGAGAATGCATGAGATCATAATCGTTGATCCGAGGGAACAATGACTGAACTGCCAAATTGCAGATTTTTATTTAGATGTTCACCTTAGATGTATCAAGATATTATTTCAACCTAAGTGTAATCCAATTGCACGTATGTCATTGAATTAAAAAATAATTTATTAATAATATTATCGCGATCATTTATTATTCTGTACATCTCTCGGATGAAAACAAAAACGATTTAAATAACCAAGAGTCCCTCTGTTTCAGTGTTCTTCAGAAGTCTATCATTTCTTACTTTATAACGATTAATGTGTCATAATCTTATCCTTGAAAGCAAAGGCCGGACGTGTAACAGCGGAGCTATAATAGTTCGTGTACCATTTGACTTTTCCATAATTAACATCGATTTATATAATTGTCTAACTGACGAAAAGATACAATGTTGATATGTATCCATGTTTTATTCATACACAAAAATTAGACATTTCAAGATTGTTACGATAATATCGAACTAAATTTTAGAAACGTCAATCAAGTTAATCAAGAATATTTTCATGACCATTACTACTTTCCATTGGGACGTGGGATTAGAGATAAGATTGAATCGTGTCCTTTTGAAAATTTGACTAAGTATTTTTTCCTTTTTTTTTTTTTTGTATTATATCATTGAAAGAAAATCGATCTTTTGTATTTTGAGAATGGATGCAAATTGATTGTTGGATCATTTTCTATGAAACATTTACCACGTTAAAATCTTACGATTTTTCTAATTAACAATAATTTTGAAATTAAGCAAGATTATTAATTGAAAATGAAGTTGGGATCATCGAACTGTTAAAAGTTCATTCGAACTGTTAAAAGTTTGAAAGAAACAACGACGAGCAGTTTTCACGATCGCATTGTCGTCTGTGGGCTGTTATCAACTCGAAGAATCGCAAGATCTTCGCCGCCATTCGGCTTTTCAACGATTTAACGGGGGACACACACGAGAAAATGACGTCTAGCTGTGTAAATTCACGGACGCTTCCGTGCCATGGGAAGAAATATCGTCGTCAAAGAGGGGAGGGAGAAAACTTTCGAGCTGCTAAAAGGCTGAGATTTCAGCTCTTTGAAAATTTTCGAGATAAGCAGAACGTGAGGAGTGAATAGACGCGTTCAATGGACGTAATCGCGGTGAAAATTCATCTTTTTTCTCTTCATTTTTCTTTTTCTTTCCTTCTTTCTTTCCTTGCCGTAAGAAGCTTTTTAAAATAAGGTAAGAGCTTTTGTTTATGAGATCTATATATAAATATATATACATAGTTGTTGCAAACTAAATCAACAAAATTTCTTTACCATAATATTTATACATAATAAAATTTTTCGTTCACAAAATATTCATACATGTTGGAAGTACTGCAAGAACAAATTGAATACACGTTAGATTCGATAAATTAAAAAATCGTTATCAAAATTAAATTTAAAATTTAAAATTATTTCTTTTTTCTAATATATTTCAATTAAATCAATTAATCCGTCACATTTTCCAAATAAATTCGAAAATCTCACTCCAAATAATTGATCTCCAATTAAATATGTAAAAATTGTGCAAATCGAGCAAGTTAGAGGATCGATGAACGGACCAAAGAAATCTCGAAATCTCGCGTCGTATCGTTCGATCGCTTTCAGAAATAACTCACGTTGCAGCGAGCCCCTTGCAAATAGATCGGTCAACTGGCCGGTAACTACAGATATTGCTTGATAAAGCAGTTTAAATTTACTGCGTACGAATAGCTGTCACCTACAGAATGGAATTAAATTGCTTGGGGCGTTTACCTCGTTTCACTTCCAACCGTGTACGAGCTCCTGTAGAAGCCTTGCAAGTAGTCGTTCAGATGGCCGACAAACTTTAGATTCACATTGTATTGCGCGCCCTTCTTCAACGTGTCCGACGTTCTAATCACGTAAAACTGGCGCTCGGTGTCGTTCCTCTGCTCCACGATTTTCACCACCTTCTCCCCAGATTTCACGGCCGAATAAGATTTTATATTCGTAAAACTTTCGTCGATGTTCATGTCCACTGCGTGCAACGTCACCTTGTCCGTGTCCTCCGTCACGTTTACCAAGATTTTCACCTGGAAATATTATTTTTATAATATTTTGTAAGTGTGACTATTACGTGAGATCATCGATGAAACGGATATTTCATTCATCTTAGATCGAGGAATGAGTCAATTCTTCCTTCGAACGATTCTTGCTTCTTTTTTTTTTTGAACAATTTTATTCGATGAATGTTATTCGCAGAAGTATTTATTAATAGTGAATGGATAGGATTGGATTATGAGCGAAGAAGAGTGTATCAAGAGTGAAATTGTATCGTTACTTTTGTTTTGCGTTTATTTTCGAGAGGAAGAGATTAAGAAATTGTATTCTGTTTCGTATATCTATAAAATTTATTCCTTAATTTTCTGCGCGTTAAATTTTTATCTAATTTTGCAAATAAATTTCTTTTACAATTATTTAGGCCAAAGTCTATAATAAAACAATTAATTCTAATTTCTATATTAAAAATATCCTCTTCTCGTTGTATAATTTCTAATCTATCATAAAGAAATCTAAACTATAAAACGAGAAATAAAATAACGATTCGAACTTTCTATCTGCTATTGGCTACTTTCACCCTTCGAGAGCTAACTTATAATCAACGTCCCGGTTTTCGATACTTTTTTTTTTTTTTTTACGAGTGCATAAAGGAGAAGATTAAACGTCGAAAATTACGAATTAATTATTCACCTCTTGTTCTACATCTTTTGAATTAAAGCAAGCAAGTACTTGCACAGCTATAGGAATCCTTCTTTTATCCACTTAAACGAAGAAGAAATTGTTCCTCTTTGTCCGATTTTAATTCCTAATTGTTGTTAATATTAAGAGAAAGAGAGACAGAGAGAGAGAGAGAGAGAGAGAGAGAAGAAAAATTAAAACACAAAAGCATCTTTGAGGATTTATCCTTTGTGCAATGAGATAATTTTCGTCGAAGGCAATTCGTGCTTGCTTCTCGATTAGTTAACGATCATTCCTCGTTTCGCATAATATTGTGAAACAGGTAAATAAATACATTACATATGTACACAAGAAGCGCGAGTGTCTCGTTTAAAAAAAAAAAAAAAAGACGTAGAAACGGAAACACGTTTAAAGCATGTGATACTTTTTAAATAGGAATTAACTTTTCGTAGGAAAAATTCCTCGTTGTAATTACATGGAATAAATGCAAGAGGAGCTTTAATATACCATGAGAACTATGAATAATTCCTTATTCCTAGAGATTAAAGAATTTTGTTGAATTTGAAATGAAAATTTCATTTTATCATCTTTCATCGAATAAAACATTAATGTGAATTTTTCGTACGATTTTTATATAAATAAATTTTTTTTTTTCTCTAAAGAATGATCGATTTTGTTCGATTATTATAAATCGATTGCGAAATTACAAAGTTTTTAGCTGGATATAGAAGGGCAAGAGAATGTTTCAACTGTTCTCGTGAACTGGCAATACGTGCTTTCTAAAACAGCTCTTGTCTCTTTCTAAATGAATCAGCGTTCCTTTAATATCTGTTGGAACGGTTCTGGTTAATTTAAAAGTAATGAATCATATATTTTCACGAGAAGTAAATATCGTTTCATATTAATCTTACACCTTTTTTCGAAAAAGCAAATAAATATTTTAGAAGAAGTATTTGTCATGTATTTTTCGAACGATTTGATTTGATCGATTCATTTATTTTGTCGTGAAAATAATCAATCAGGATATAGAGAAAAGCAACGACAATGAAATCGTTTTTTGAATTATCCCGATATCTCGATCGGTTGCCGAGATATAAATATTCAAAGTCTCCATAATACTTTAAAACACGGTGCGGAGATTATGAATGGGTCTGCGATCAAGAGACCTATATATTTTCCTAGAAATGCGTACTACGTTTTTCCAGGAATCGTTTGTCTGGAATTTATGATGGGTCAGCGAGGTGCGAGCGAGAGATCCGACCAAAGGATAAGGACGGAGATAGTAAACGATTAAAAATTACCTTTTTCTTTACACGACGATATCTCGGAAACCGGAAATCGTATCGGGATAAATGAAAGAGCGTTTTAAAGGGCAAGGTTTCACGCTTCTAACGATTTTTTATTCGTTGGTAAAAAGTTACTATCTTCGGAGTTACAGCGGTTCAAAGTTTTCTTAATTTTAATAAGATTAAGAATTATCCTTTTCTTTACAGGATGATATCTCGGGAACCGGAAATAGTATCGAGATAAATGAAAGAGCGTTTTAAAGGGCAAGGTTTCACGCTTCTAACGATTTTTTATTCGTTGATCAAAAGTTACTATCTTCGGAGTTACAGCGGTTCAAAGTTTTCTTAATTTTAATAAGATTAAGAATTATCCTTTTCTTTACAGGATGATATCTCGGGAACCGGAAATAGTATCGGGATAAATGAAAGAGCGTTTTAAAGGGCAAAATGCACGCATCTGATGATCGTTCATTCGTTGACCGGAAGTTATTATCTCCAAAATTACAACGGTTCAAAAGTATTTTTTTAATTTTAATTTTTTTTTTTAATTTTTTAAATTTATCAAGTTTTAAGATAAATTACAATTGTGACAATTGTTCCCTTTCAGCGTCATTCACAGACGCAAATTTCTCGCACAGTTGGAAATCGCTTCGCTCTCAGAGAAAGAGAAAGAAACAAGAAATATTTCATACCTCGCCATTGAACGTAAAGTTGCCAACTTGTATGAACGGTATGAGCCTAAGCTCGTAAGAGACCGGGACTATGGATCGCGGCAATCTGACGTCCAATTTTTTCTTTCCAAACGTGTCAGTGGGAAAAGCACGGCCTGATGTCGAGATGGGCACATCGCTGCACGATTTGTCGAGTTTCTCCTCGAGGCATGGGGCGAGATGGTAAACCAATAGTCCAGTCACAACCAGGGATATGAGGAAGGCAGCGCCCAAAAGGAAAGCGCCGCAAGGGGAGACTGTGCACCCTCTTTTACGTCCGAACGTTGTTGTGTGCGCGTCCATCATCGCCAAAACCTCCCGGGACTGGGTCATATCATGTGTAAACCTGGAAAAAAAAACGACGAGAAGAAAGTGAGAGCATTAGCGTCTTGATGGATAATCAATGATTTTGATAGAAAGTAATGGTAATATTTTAGGACGAAGTTAACGTAGAAGAGGAAAATTACATGTAAAAGTAAGATAGTTTCGGGAAAATTAAATGTTGTCGAAAAAAAAGCGATAATTTCATGATATTATTAACACAAGTTCTGTCAAAATATANATATATATATACTATTGCAAACTTTAATAAATGTAATTATAATAAGTTATTATAATTTAAATTAACGGAAGAAGAATTTGTATAATACTCTCAAAATTTACGACAATATCAGAACATCGTTAAATATTATGGTTGGCAAAAAGAAAAAGAAAAAAAAGAAAAGAAAGAAAAACAAAAACGATATTAAACACGTTACATAAACTCTCGACATGGTTTTTTTCCAAACTATAAAACGTTCGAGAACCACGATTGCTGTCATCCGCTCATAAATAATGTTGATTTTACACCTGCCCACTCGTATTTGCTCGAGAATTCAATTCCTACGTCCTCCTCTTTCCTTCCTTCCTTCCTTCCTTCCTTCCTTTTCTTCTTCTTTTTCTTTTCCTTTTTTTCCCCCCGTTTCATCCTTCAAACGTGTACGCGCACATCGATGCGATTCTGATTAACATCCGTGACGAAATAGACGA